GCGGGGCACCCGCCGCCGTGGCCAGCGACTAGCCAGGTGTGGCGGGGACCCCGAGATACCCGCGCATACCATGCCTGAGGCCCATAGAGACACAGAGAAGCCTGCGGGACCAGACCAGCTTTCCTCCAGACTCACAGCGGGGGAGCCTGTGGATCCGTCGTGCCATTCCAAGAGTGCGCTCAGAGAGTGCGCGGGCGCACCATACCTGACCTGTGGCTTCTGGGAGAAGTTTTATCTACCCTCACAGGAAACTTGCATTCAGATCTTTGATTTTCCTTTTTTAATTTTATTAACTTACAAAGTATTGGATCTCCATATGACTCTTTCATATATATATAGATTCGGTTGCTCCTACCTCCTCTCCTTTTCTCTCCTTTTTTTTTAAAAAAAAAATTTATTATTTTTATTTAATGTGTATGCGTGTATTACCTGCATGTAGGTAAGTGCACTGTGTCATGCAATGCCTGCAAAGGACAGAAGAGGCTGTTGGATCCCCTGGAACTGGAGTTACGGACAGTTGTTAGCTACCATGTGGGTGCTGGGATTCGAACCCGGGTCTTCTGCAAGAATAGCCAGTGTTCTTAACCACTGAGCCATCTCTCCAACCCTGTCCTTCCTTCTTTTTTAAAAAAATATTTTATTATTTCAATTTCAGGTGAAATGAGTGTACTGCTTGCATGCATGTAAGTGCATTCACGTCCTGCAGTGCCTGTGGAGGTCAGAAGAAGGTGTTAGATCCCCTGGAACTGGAGTTATATATGGTTGTTAGCCACCATGTGGGTGCTGGGAATCGAGCCCGGGTCATCTGCAAGAGCAGTCAGTGCTTTTAACCACTGAGCCATTTCTCTAGCTCCTGTCCTAGCTTCTTGCTTAAACCTTTCCACCCATAGTATTCCCCCACCCACATGGCTGTTAACAACCACCCGTTCCAGGGGATCCAACACCGTCTTCTGATCCGCACAGGCAATGCACACAACATGGGTGCACTTACACACACGCAGGCAATACACTCATATACATAAAATAAATAAAAATTTAAAAAATTTTGTCCAACAATAGCACATTACACATTTTTCTTAGCCTCACACGGATAGTTGCCAAGATAGACCACATTCTAGAGATAGGGAGAAAATGTAGTTGGTAAAGTGCTTACTATGCAAGCAAAAAGACCTGAGTTTGGATCCCCAGCATCCATATAAAAAACACCAGACATGGTGACATGTACTTTGTAATCTCAGCACTAGAGACACTGAGACAGGTAGAATCCTACAGCCTGTTCGCCAGCCAGCCTAGCCTAATCAGAAAACCCCAGGTCCCACTGAGAGATCCTGTCTCAAAAAAGAAAAGTAATTGATTCATGAGGAACAACTTTCAGGGTTGACATCCAGTTTCCATATGCATGTGCACAACACAGGCACCCTCATATATACAAACACACATGTGCACCCTCATATACATGAACATGTATACACACATACACACGCATACACGCCACATCTCAGCTATTTAAAAAAAAAATCAAGAGTGAGTGTGTTGGCATACTCCTATAAGTCCTAGACCCCAGAGGCCTGAGGCAGGATTTTAAGTTTAAAGTCCAGCCTAACTTGCATCCCAAGACCCTGTCTCAAAAAACAAAAAAAAAACCACAAAAGTAATTATGAAGGTTTTGTAGCTCAGTGGTAGAGCGCTTGCATACCCCTAAGTTTCATCCCCATCTCCATACACACATAAAAGTATTGTCTCAAGATAAGCCTACCAAGAAGTGGGGAGCAAGAATTAGGCTGCAAGGTGTAGAGTTCTAAGAGCCACTCCTAACCACTGAGAGACAATGGATCCTAAATGAAACCCTCTGCTGATAAGTGTTTTGAAAAGTTCCTCCTGAGTTTCCCTGAGAACCAGTGCAAGACCCAGTTTCTAACATAGCTAGAAACAAAAAAATTCCATTTCCCAACCAACTTTGTTTTAGAATTCAGCACCAACTAGGGGTTGGCAAAATGGCTCAGCTGAGCTTCATGTCTTGAGTTGGAGCCCCAGGACCTAATGGTGGAAAGAGACCCAACTCCTCTAAGTTGTCATCTGACTTCCACAAAGTACTGTGCATGCACACACATGCACACTCTCTCACAAATGAAAGAGACAGGGAGGGAGGGAGGAAGGGAGGGAGATAGGAGGGAGAGAGGGAGGGAGGGAGGAAGGGAGGGAGATAGGAGGGAGGCTCATCTCGTTAAGGAAGGAAGGAAGGAAGGAAGGAAGGAAGGAAGGAAGGAAGGGAGGGATTGATTTAGCATGAGAGCCACTCATCTTGGAAGCAGTAGTCTCAGTCCCAAATGAATGAATGCTTGCTCACTACCACTTTCAAATGTGTACCCAAGGAAAACAAATTTAATGATACCTCATTGCATCAGTACAGCTGGAAGGTCTTCTGAGACCCTGGGGATATAGCTACTGAAGAGAGGTCAACCCTGGTGGCACTAGGACTCAGGCATCTGGGAAACTGCCTCCAAGAGTCAATTCAAGTTTATCCCTGCTCCTCAGTCGGGAAGATCTCTACACAAGGAAATTGTGATTGGCCATTAAATCCCCAAGGCAAGTATGAGGGAGCTCACAGAGAGCACAAGGTCTTTCTATCTAGGGTGCTTTGCTGTTCTCTCGGGTCAGCATTTAATTCATTCAGTTCTAGTATCCTCAAGTAAGCCTGTTAACTCCCTCTCAACAACTACCCCACAGCCTATCCTTGGGGATTTCCTATAAGTTGTATGTGTCCCCTAGGAAGTTTAATTTTTAAATTTTGATGACATTTCAGTAATCTATTTTTTATTGCTTGTACTTTAGATATCAAATCTAATAAACAGTTGTCTAATCCAAGGGTACATAGGTTTAAGAGTTTTATAATTTTAGTTCTTTGATCCATATTGACCTAGTTTTTATATGCAAAATATTAATTGCATCTTTCAAGATTTTAAGCATATTTTACAATCTCCTTCTGACAATTCTCTGATTAGCTACCAAAGCTTAAATCCCATGTCAATACGTCCCTGGCATTTGTACAAAATGGACCCCTCCTTCTCTCCCTTGGTCTCTCTCCTCCTTGCTCACCCCACCCCCATGACCCTCTGTCTCTGTTTCCGGAGTGCTAGGATGACAGACATGCTCTACCATGTCATGTTGGACTATTTCCTCATATGTTTTATGTTCAGTCCAAATTTCAGATACCGTTACTTCACATTCTGTGAACAAGAATGTCTCTGCAGGGCAGATTTGCATCTTTGCCAATTGCTTCCAGAAGTTAACAAGAGCAGAATAAGCTTTTATGCCCATTTAATGGTTTGGAGATTTGTAGATGACACAGTATTACACTGACCCCAATTTCACAGGATTCCTAATCCTAGGAAAAGCTGAGATAGTGCAACTTTTTTTTTTGAGAATTTCATGAGTACTATATTTCCATTATTTCCACCCCTCCCTCTCCAACCTGTCCCTTCTCTCCCACCCCCTCTCAATTCTGTGAACCTTTTCTTTAATTAAGATTGTTACATATGACATTCCAATTTCTGGGATGCCAGTTCAGTTTTTCCTAGCACTCCACTCCCAATGGAACTGCCCTTTTCTAAGCACTTGAGGTTACGTTGGTTACTCAGCTACAGTAGCTACACAGCTCAGAACAAAGACCTTATCTTGAACCCTTGGTCATCAGTTGGCTAGCCTCTTTCTCACCCAGTATTCACAGTGTGATTCAGTCCACCACGGAGTTTTTTGTTCACTCACAGATTTTACATCCTAGGCACTGGGAAACAGCTACATATTATAGAGATCTGAGTAATAATTTAATTTAGCTTTTACTTGGGGTTTGCCTGTTTGTTTGGAGGCAGGGGTCCTATGTGGTTCTGGCTGACCCAGAATTTACTATATAAACAGGCTGGCCTCAATTTTAGAGCAATTCTCCTGCCTTTGCCTCCTGAGTGCTAATCTAGCATTTCAAAGTGCTAAATTGCAGGAAGATTTTCAGATCCTTTTTATGGCTAAAGAAATTAGAAGATAAAAAAGATCACACGGGATGTTTTTATATGACTACAAGAATGATTACATCAAAGCAGAAGACAAGGCTCAATACCAACGCCAAAGCAGAGAAGCAGTCTGAGGAGTCTCCTATGCTGGTCTCTAGGGATTGTTCTTAAGAACAAACCATGGACACACAAGTAGCTATTAGATAGTAAGCAATGCCTCAGGAACAGCCCAGAGTTTCAGAAATGCCAACCACAAAAACAGGTCTCATACAATTGTCCTTCTTATTGGACATCTATTGGCTGAGTGGCTATATCACAAGAGTCTGATCAATGTCCCTGCTCTTAGCTATAGGTAACATAGGCTAGGATAGTTCTGTCTTGGGCTACCAGGCCCTCACTGCCCCACAGTAGGATGTTATCTACATGAGGATTAGCTCCTATGCCTCACTGGAAAAAGGCAGCCCAGCTCTTAACTAGTTCTAGACTCCAACTCACTAGGACATGTAGTGAGTGTCTTTCTCCGGCTACCTCAGGAGGATACATTCATTCCTACAACTCCAAGAAACAAAAAACTCACATCCCATGTGTCTTGACTGCTGTATATTAGGGATATGAAAGAAATGGGCAAGTTGTATCAAGTCTGTGGCATTCACAGCCTATGTGTCCTCACAAAGTCTTCTCTTACAATCACTTGTATCTTACCTCACTGGAGCATTAGGCCTTGACTTGTCTAGAACCACACTTTTGATCCACGTCTCAGAAAATTCTGGGTTCCACACAAAGGACATTCTCAGCAGGTTATAATCTCAGCTTCTTTGCCTTTTCCCTTTGCTCACAGTTTCCTACCTAACAGCTCCTTCCAACCAATTCCCCACTTTTAGCAGGCACTTCTTTCTCTGAAGGGCTGCTGGCTCAGAGGTCTCTGAGGTTTTACTCTTCTACAGAAGCCAGGCTGTGTGGTGGGAGATCTGGAGAGGTATCACATCTACCACCTACCTTTCCACAGCTGTTGGAGTCACACTAGTCAGGGAAGGAGCACCTGGTGTGGCTTTGGACCGCTCTGTAAATCGGGAGTCAAATGCTTTCATAGGTTCAATCTTGGATGGGGTTGTTAACACGGAGGGTGACGATGCAGCAGGAGTAGAGGTAGCATTCATACTGGGGAATGGAAATAGGAAGTACATCAAATACAATCCCTAAATCTGGAGGTCTAAGAATGACGGAACTTGAAGCCTAACTAAAGGAATAGAAACATCAAACTACTTTCTCTAAATACAAGAAAACTTCAAATCTGTTCCATTTTTTTTTAAGTTCATGCATTAAAATTCTAGAAGTCTGACTATCTGACTATCTATCTCTTGAAAGAGCAAATGCATTCACATTCTCCCTCTTCCTCTGTTCTGACACCTTTTGGGAGGTAGACCATATCCTGGGTCTCTACAACCTGAATTTAGCACATCTACCCAAACTGACTCAACCACTAGCTTTTCCACTTCCACAGTGGCTCTAGGGAGGAAAACCATCACTGGGGTTGTGAAGTCATGGCCTATCCCTGTCCTTCATCCTCAGCCTAGTCTTCTCTGTCCTAAGTAGCCTCACCAATGTCTCACCGGAATAATGACAAATCTTAGCACTTTGGAGAAAGGAAGTCTATGAAATAGCTTGTCCAGGTTTCCTCCTGCTCAAGCCCAACCCCAACTCCTGGGTCAAAGCCACTGGGCCTTTTGGCTTACCTCATGCAGACTAACACCTCTACCTCCATTTACCAAGAACCCATATCAGACACCTAGCAGTCATTGTGGATGACACTATTTTCCTCCTCTACAGTTTCTAGTATGAATCCACAAAACACCGCTTGGCTCTGGTGGCACCTGTCCTTCCCAGCACCCTTTACTTTGCTTCCTGACTAGCTTGCTACACCATATCCTCCTCTCTGATCTTCACTCCTGGTTTCCTAAGAGCAGTGACAACTGATGCTTAGTGTACCATCACAGCCTTCATGCCAGAGTCCAGAGGCAAGAGGCTACAACAACACTTTCCACTAACAAAGAAACACTCTCAAATGATCAGTTGTGGGTAGCAGGTGCTTTCTAAATTTGAGCACCACTGCCTATTTGCACCATATTCCTAAATTGCAAATCTAAAACCTTCTGTATCTCCCCTCTGAGAAAATCCCAGGTTACCTTGTTCATAATAGGAACTCAGCCTTTTCCTCTTCTCTTGCATCCCTTCTAGGGGCCTCAGAGCTCTGCTATTGTCCCTGCTTCCCAACCTTCTCCCTGCTGGTTATCTTGTATGGGCTCTGGGAGGAGCACGTTCTAAAAAGCCTCAATGGACCCTGTTCGCTAATCCCCCAATGGATAGCCCTTTCTGCCAAAGACCACAGACGCTACCCTGCAACTCTGTGGCTGCCTCTTCCCTATCAGGACAAGTACGTGCCAATCAATGTCCTGTGGGTGCCTAGTTGCTACAGTATAGCCCAGAACAGGCTTGTGGCAAAAAGTCACTCTTGCTCACTCTCTCCTAGTCCTTTCTGACCAGGTATAATGGACAGTGACAACATAGGCTCTCTTAGTGAATCTAAGTGTGATGGGAAATCCACATGCTTACAGGAGCACCCTGGCAGGGATGAAGCATGAAACTCAGCACAGTGGAAGCCAAAGCCAGGAATGTCAGGCCATCTCCAGTGTTGATCTGCCAGAAAGTGGGGTGGCCTTGTAGCAGACAGTTACCTCACTGGCAGATCCCCAAAGCTTTGTAGACTTATCCCCAGTCAGTTTCTCTATGAAATCCACATAGCCTAGAGAGTCGCCTAAACAAGTACTCCCTTCTAAGGAAGCTCTCATTTAGACTCAAGCATTTTTGCCCTTTTCTAGCCAAGTGGCCATGAAATAAAAATAGAATAAAATTCTTATCCCTGGAACCATGTTCCAAACCTGAGCTTTCCCCAGGGACATGACTGAAACTTGGTGCCCACTAACCTGTCCTTACTGACAGACTCGCCTGTAGGCCTGGCACCAGTGGCTGCCCCTGGCTCTGTGCAAGGCTTCGAGGTGCTGAAGGAGGGGGTACTGGAGTCCAGTGGCAGTAGCTGCTGACCGCTAGGAGAGGAGAGCATGGTGCCTGCCAGGGAGCCCGAGAGTGGGATGCTGTTGAAGAACGCCGTGGAGAAGTCCCTGTTAAGCAAGGGGAGGGGGGGGTAAAAAAAAATCAGCACAAAAATGTTACAGCTAGTACTTTATAACTTCTAAATAACATTTTTCTGGGTCCTGAGTCATAGATAATTTGGAAAGTTACAGAAGAGTTTTTAAAAATGAAAATACCTTATACTATATTTAATTGACTCTAAAGTGAACTATTAATAATGTACTACTAAGAAATACATGGCTAATACAATGGGAATTGTTAGATGCTATTGATCATACAATGACCCTGATGTGAAGTGTTAAGTATGCATAATGGTAAGTCTTAGAGCTGAGGAAATGCAGCACATACAAGGGCCTCCTTTTTAAGGGCTGTAGACTTTCCCCTTGGATGGGCATGATTTACCCAGCCCAGCCTTTACAGAGAATCAGTGTTCCCCTGCTGCTTCTGTGGTGTACTGCTATAACAGAAGATACAACGTTAAGTAAGGAGACTGAGGGACCTAGGCCAGACCAGCCAAGGATAATGCCTTAGCTATTTGCAAGCTCACAATCTTGTACATGTCAGTCACCTCTATTGAGCCTCAAGTACTCATATGCAAAGTACTTGGACCCTCCCCAATATGTCATTGCCAAGACTGAAAAAGACTGTGTAAGTACATAACTAGAGCAAAGATGTGTAGAACACAGTAATTGTCAGTATACTCATCAATTCATATATAATATGGGATATATGCCCAGAAATATAGCTAAAGCAACAAACATAATGTTCACACATGATTTCTGATAAACACTTCTAAAGCTCTCTCTCTAGAGGTTTAAGCCACAAGCCCTTATGAGAATGCCTGTTTCTCCAAAACCTCACTAACACTTTTGTTGTAAGAGCAGTTGTTAACATTTGTTTTGTTTGTTTGTAGTACTGGGGATAGAACCCAGGACCTCACATATGCTAAAGAAAGTGCTCCATCACTAAGCTATATCCCTAGACTTCTTTTTAGCTTTTTATTTTGATAAAAGGTCTCAGTAAATTACCCAGGCTGGCCTCCTGAGTAGCTAGAATTATAGGCCTCCACTGCCAGCTCAGCCTAACAGTTTTTATCAAATTTCTTGATATTTGCCATTCTGTTGGATTAAAAAAAAAATAGTACTTTACTACAATTTTGATATATGGTTAGTAATCATGATATAACATTGAAGTTTTTCATATAGAAAATTTTGGCATGGGGGAGGGGAACAAAGAACAAAGTACAGGTTTTAGCCTGGCTAAAAAGACATTATTTTGTTGTGGTCTAAATTTTAAGTCATTTATGGAAAATATTTTTTACCTCTGAGACTCTCAAAATGTTTCCCCATATATTTCTAAAATTTTAAATGAAAATGTTTTAAATGACAACAAAAACATGAAACATTAAAACAAGCAAAATACTGCTGAGCTGTTGATATATTTAGTTCTAAACTGTAAAGAGAGTGGGAACTTGGTTTAGAGTGTACATTGTCTTGACTCTTTTTATTGAATTAGCCAATGTTTCTTCACTAATTGGAGACACGACTTTTAAAACTCCCTTGAAGGGGCTACTGAGATGACTCAGTTGGAAACTACATCCCACAAAATCATGAGGATCTGAGTTTGAACCACCTGCAATTATATAAAAAGCCAGGCACAGTGGCATGTGCCTGTTACTCGAGGGTTGGAGAGGTGGAGACAAGAGATCCTGTAGGGCTTGTTGGCCAGTCAGTCTGGCTGAATCCGTGAGCTCTAGGTTAAGTGAGCAACCCTATCTCAAAATATATGGTGGAAAGCAATTGTCAAAAACGAACTCTGGTCTCCATACACACACGTGCACACATGTACACAAACAAATACATACAGACACATAGAACTTCCTTATTAGGGCCTTCTTTTGGAAATTCTGCTATATTCATTGCTCTATTCATGTGAGTACCTCCTTATTTACATTTTAATTTCTGATAGACAGTTTCCCCTAATCAATTCCCTTTGTTCTTCCAGAAATAGCTCAGATATTACTATTTCGCCATATAACTTCAGAATTGACTTTCTCCTTCTGAAAACTATGATTATTTTTCTTGGTTCGTGTTAAATTTATGTTTAGGGAGAAGTAACGGGCGATTTATGATAGTCAGTCGTCCTTGCTAATCAATAGAATTGTTTTTGTAAGTTTTATTTTGTTGTTTTTCTTTTAGGCCTCTCTGAAGAATTGTGTGTGTTGTATATGCAAGTGTATGTATGTTTGTGTTGGGGGGAGGGTGTAACACTTGCCTGTATGTGCACATGTGGAAGCCAGAGGTTGGTATCAGGTATCTTCATCTAGTACCTCCATCCTATTTTGAGGCAACGTCTCTCACTGAACCTGGAGCTGAACAATTCAGCAAAACTGGCTGGCAAGCCCCCAAGACCCACCTATCTCCGCCCCTCTGCCCCAAACAGTAAATGGCTATCACACAGATGCTGGGGATGCGAACTCAGGTTCTCATGCTCGTGCAAAAAGTACTTTACCCACTGAGCCATCTCCCCAGCCTGAGAATTCTTAAACTTTTCTTCATAGATTTACACTTTGTAGCTGGGCCTGGTGGTACACACCTATAGACCCTGCTACTTAGGAGGGCTGAAATGAAAGAGTTGCTTGAACCTCCAAGTTTGAGGAGCAAGGGCAACACAATGAGACTTGATCACAAAAAAAAAAATTTTTTTTTCATTTGTGAATGTGATTTCTTCCTTGATCTCATTTTGATTATATTTAGTACATGCTCAAACTCTTTCTTATATATGCATGCATGCTCTTATACTGTTTCTTTAAAATGGGGTCCTAATACGTAGCCCAGATTGGCCACAAACTCATGATCCTCCTGCCTCCACCTCCTGCATGCTGGAATCAGAAGCATGCAGCACCACACTGGGCTCTACTCTCTCCTTTTACTATCCATAGCAACACTGCCACTTGATGTTCTTCTAGAACATATCATTCTTAAATAATGATGCAGTTTTCATTCTCCTTTCCCATGCATTGTTGCCTACCTACATAAGCTAGAACATGTAGAGCAATGACAAATTAGAGTCAAGACTAAAAAATTGTTTCATTTCTGAACTTAATGTGAAATAAGGCAATTTATCAAGTTCAAACCTCTATCTGCTTCTATTTCATTGAATTTGAAGTCAGAACAATTTTGAATTTTACCAAAATGCCCCTTGAGCAACTATGGAGGTGATTATAGCACTGATTTCTTTTGATTTACTAACATGGACATTGAGATTATTTGGCTTCCCATAGTTTTGAACAGTCTACCTTTGCTGTCTAAGTAAGCCTTATTTAGCAAAGATATTAACCTTTTGTTTATGACAGGGTCTCACTATGTTGCCCAGTATGGCCTAGAACTAACTATGTACATCAGGCTGGCCTTGAACTCTCATACCCCTCCACCCCCTAATCCCCCACACTGGGATTAAAAGTATGTGCCACCTTGCCCAGCCCTGGTTTTAGCCTCTTAACATGCTCTCCATGTTACTATATCATTTAGGATTTTGCACTGACTACTAGAAATTAAATAGGCCTGAAATTTATTGTGTTCTATTTTCACTTTTTGTGGTAACCAAGTCTATTGTTTCCCAGGCTGACTTCAAATTTCTGAGCTCAAGTGATTCTCCTGCCTCAGCCTCCTCAATAGTTGGGATTACAAGGACACACTATAGTGACCAGCCATCTTTGTTACATTTGATAAACAACAACAACTAAAAAAGGACTGGAAAGATGGCTCAGTGTTAAGAGCACTGGCTGCTCTTGCAGAGGACCCAGGTTTGGTGTACAGTTCCCACATGGTAGCTAACAACCACCCGTAACTCCAGCTCCAGGGGGATCCAACATCTTCTAGCCTCCATGGGCATTGCATGCATGTGGTGGACTTATAGACAAGCAGGGAAAACACTCATATAAATAAAATAAAAATAAATGAATGATTTTTTAAAGGAATTTGCATTTTTCCCTCCTTTATCTGTATACCAGAACATGTAAAACAGTATTAAGTTGTCTGTTTCTTAAAAGTTTGATAGGATTTCCCTGTGAGGGTTTCTTAATCTGGTGGCTTTAAGTAGAGAAAACTATATATAGCAATACTTCGTTTTTAATATGTCTATTTTCTCCAAAAAATACTAACCACTTCAGACATTTATTTTCAGAGCCCAGCAAAGTATTCTCTCACCCTTTTGACTTATTCTTCATCTGTGATTATTTTCCAGTTATAATTACCTTATATATTTGTTTTTTTCTTTTCTTTCTTGATTGGCTAACAATTGCCTACATAGCTGCTATTTGTTTAAACACAGGAATCAGGAAGGCAAAAAATTTTTAATAGAAAAACTCAAGTTCTAGTGCCAGAATCAAGTTCCCAAAAGTAGAAAGCTGACTCAAGTAAGGCCAGCAAGGAAGACCCATTCTTCTCAAGACCCTGACCTCTCTTCCTCCTCACTATGTAAGTCCTGGAAATATCCACAGAATCAAAGTGCCACCACCACCTTCTTTCACTGACCCAGGCCTGCAGTGTTCAAAGCACATTTCCATACTTCCATCACTGACCCAGGCCTGCAGTGTTCAAAGCACATTTCCATACTTCCATCAACTGGGGCAGGTAGCTTTACCCCTACAGGTTCATATAAGAAAAACAGGTTTAATGAGGGGAAAATTATCAACATAAGAGGCATTAGGAGAGCTGGTTCTACATCTGGATCCAGCACACCTAACCTGAGAGGTGAGGTTAGCACATCTTATAAATGAAGGCCTCTTTAGCCTTCAAAGGAGACTTGGAACAGGTCATGAATGGACAACAGCAAAGTATTAAGGACTACTGTGCGGAGTCTCTGTGAAGGATCTGCAGATAGCCTGAGCTGATCACTGCACGGGTATAAAACCAAAGAGATACCGTGACAATGAGGTATACTGTTTTCACAAAGGGCCTTAGCATCCTTTGAATCAGCACATGTCATTTCTGGGAAACAACCAATACAAAAGACTGACCACAGATACATACATAGCCCCAAATGTGAAGGAAGCCATACTTTCCCACTTGTATCCACAGGGCAATGTGTCTCAGAGCCCTACCCTCTGTCCAGCAGTTCTACTTTAGCAGTTACTTAAGGAGACAGTCAAATGTGTGTTTGAAGATTTACAGTCACAAAAAACTGGACACAAACTACAAATCCACAATTAAGGAGATGTTTCATTAATTCGTGGTGCATTCAGACGACAGGAATCTGGATAATCTAATGCTTCAGGACTATTTATTGAGTGGATGAAAGGTCAAAATACAGTAACAAATGATGAAAAGACTGGAAGTACACATATCAAAATACTAACAAAGATTAGATTATGAATATTTATCCTCTTCTTTGGACTTTTACCATTTTTCTACATTTTCAACAATGTCTCCATATCTTTCATAATCAGAAAAAAATGTTGCAAAAGGAAAGAAAAAACTTCCTCTTCTCCTGCAGCACCTGGCCAGCAATAAGGGAGAGCAGATAACCGGCCAGAGGAGATATCCTAGCCTCAGGACATTTCAGGATACTACCCTTCCATGTAAGTCAAGTGTATGCAGAAGACCACAGGGCATTGAGAGTGCTGGGAGCTGGACTTGACTCTCTGGCTTCCAAATTGGCCCAAGAGTCTGCAAAGATCTTAACTATGAAAGTGCTAACTAGCAAAAGAAAAAAGGAAGACCTCCCCAGACAAAGTCACAGAAAGCATGGCGAATGAATGAGTACCCAGTGTCCAGCTGTGCTATGCAGAGAGGTGTGATTCTCCTCCGACCATCTGCTGTCCGAGTTTCCACTTGTTTCTTCAAAAGATTCTGGCAAAGTAGAGTCACATAAGTGAATGAAAAAGTTTTGGTCAACTACCTCCAAATATCAAAAAAATAAAGCTGCCTTTTCTTTCTGTGTTGAAAACACTTAGCTCATTTAACAAATCAGTGTGAACTCCAGTGTTACTACTGCAGGCTCCATGCTGGACAACAGAACTCTAGGACTGAGACTTTGTGCCCTCTGGCTAATATCTTCCCATGTTGCCCTCTAAGCCCCTGGCTCTCACTAATCTCTCTATTCCTATGAGTCTGACTACTTATATTCGCCACTGGGCAGTATTTGTACTTCCATGTCTTGCTACTGAGTTGTAAGCATTAGTTATGAGCATGTCACTTATACTTCACTATGGTGGGGTGAAAAATAAAGGATTCCAAGGAAATGTATTCTAACTCCCCTTTCCAAAACTTTGTTGGTTCAAGGAAACTCAAGCAGCTAATGACGCATAGACATTTTTGGCACAGTATGTATTTGACTTCTGACACAGTGAAGAAGCAAGAATAGAATGCTCCCAGATAATCTGACTCCAAGAACCTTCTTCCCTATCATCAGGACCAGACAAGACCAGATTCTCAGGCTGTGAGCACATGCCACCTAACAGTCTCGGACACTATGGGGATCTTAGGACTAAGGTTTGATCCTGTGAGTCACACTCTTGTCACAAAACTGGTGACTTACAAACTGACTTCATTATTTTTTTTTAAGGCAAAGTCTCACTCTGCCGCCCATGATGAATTAGAACATGCTATGTAGCCCAGGATGGCTTCAAACTTGTAGTGATCCTCCTGCCTCAGCCTTCTAGATGCTAGAATTACAGGCATGAACCATCATGCCCATTACAGGCATGAACCATCATGCCCAGCTTCCAAACTGACTTTTATTATAGTTCCCCTTCTTCCATGAAAGGCTTATAAAGGGTTCTAATCATACACTCTGTCAGAATTACGTTGGAGAGGTTTGTTGGCCAACACAAGCTCCTGGAGTTGACTTAAATTCTCAGTCAGCTCAGTACCATATCCTACCCTGCCTCGTTTGCAAACCCTATTGCACCAGTGAAATACAGGCTTCCAAGAGAAGAGGGACCACATAACTTTGAAAGCAGGGAACCCACATTTCTCAGCGTTTAGAATTTCCTAGCAAAGTGAGGAGGTGAAGACTTTGTTTTTCCTGCAAGGGACAACCTCCTCTATGGCTCCCTAGAACAAGAAGACCTCTCATAAAAGAACTTTATACCATCATTAGTGTGGGCACTGGGCCAACTGGCCCCAGATGGCTATGGCCTTACCCCATGCTCATCATATACCTTCTTCACCACCACTCATGCTGCTGGTCCTATCTTTGTGTCCTGTGCAGACATTCCGTGCCATGCTATCTGTTCATTCCCTTTGCCCTGTCTCTGGGCAAGTGCCCGTATCTTTAGTGTCACTGGGCTAAGCCCTCACCTTTCTGATATCTTCCAGACTTTCCCCATTGACAACACCCGTGACTGAGGACGCTGAGCCTGTTTCCCTAGCCGTGCCATTCTTCTGGTCCAGCTGCTGCTGTTGCTGCTGCTGCTGCTGCCTCCGTTGGTACTTGAGCATCTCAGGGTTCTCGATGACAGCTGTAGAAAGCTGGGCCTCAGTCATGATGGCCAGACTCTTGCCATAGGTGGACTGGTGAATACGGCTCTGCAGGAAGCAGGGAGAGGTTTGACACATGGGTATGAGTATCACCATGGCAGCAGTAACCCACCAGTAGGTTCACTACAGTGTTGACTCTCCTAGCTCTAAGAACAGAAAGGCCCAGGAAGCCAACTCTCCATCACTTCCCACTGGGCAGCCTGCCACTGATTAAAGACATAGCTGTCGAAGTCTCTCATATTGTCACAAGATGTTTATAGCCTATGTATCTACAGCTGAGAAAGATGATGAGTGTATAACAAGGCATCACCTTCCACATGGTTTAATGCAAAACAAATGACAATGGACACCATCTCTACTGAAATACAGATGTCCAAACTGATAACTTAAGGCTCTCAAGTCACTCCAAGGACCCTTAGCACTCTCACAGAACCAGTCTGCTTTTCACTTAGCCACAATGGCAGGAGGTAACTAGCACTGTATCTCAAAGCACAAGAGGCTTGGCACAGCAGGCCTAGGGAGAACCTTCTAGGCTCCCCCATCATGATCCTTCTGAGTGGGGTCTCCTCCCAGCACTAGGCCCCATTAGTCCTATGCCATAACAAGCTACATAGGTCCCTCAGGAGAGGAGGGCAGCATCCCAGAATGCTATAGAAAATAGTTTTCATAAAAGCATGATAAGCAGCAGAGGCACAAAAAGATGTGTAAATGACAAGCACTGTATTCTGCCTAGGAACTGGGACTACAATAATAGATGCTTGGTCACACCAGACAATGTCAGATAGGCAGCTTTCTAGGATAGGGACTTTGAGACTCATTTCTGCAGGGCCTGGGTGAACCCAAGAACTTTCCTCTTCTACCGTCTGGTATCCTGCCCTGTCTCCCAAATTCATCCTCTGTAATTTCAAGCCAAAATACGGAGCTTGGCTAAGGTTTTCCTAGAGTTCTTTAAGCACAGGATCACTGCCAATGATTTAGGAAATAGTAAGCTAGATGGGATTCTTCCACAGGCTCTCAATGACTCTCCAAGGAACACTGAAGGATTCAAAGGTTCTTGATGACAGTGACAAGACAACAGCATGAAGACTCTAGGTCACTGAGAAACTCATTTCTTCATTTAAAAAACTGACAGACTGCCAAGCATAGTTAGTGGCACACACATTTAATCCCAGCACTCAGGAGGCAGAGGCAGGTAGCTATCTGTGAGTATGAGCCCACCTTGTTCTATATAATGAGTTCCAGGCCAACCAAGGCTACATAGTAAGGGAAACAAACAAACAAGCAGGCTGCCCCCAATTCTAGGCACAGTGCATAAGGCAGAACTCAACCCCAAAGAGTTTACATTTTGGTGAGGGTGGTAGTATTACACAGTAGATTAAGAGGTAGTTTACCCCCAACAACAGCATCACTAAGAGGATAGCTGCTGACCTGCTCTGGGATTCCACAGAGCTCCATTCAGATAAATGGATACAATACCCCATTTATGGTTAGCAAAAGTCTGTTGGTAGAAAGAAATTTTCCAGGTCTTACAGTAGGTAGGTACTTTCTTAAAGCCTATGCTGAAGTACAGGGGGATCCCCATGCTCTGATAAATACAAAGATGAGGAAGCCTGGCTCAACAGCAGCAGACCTGGTTTACATATCCATTCTTGCAGTTAAGGATAGCATATGGCCCTGACAAAGGGTTGTGCTATTTTCCTAGGCTTAGTTACGTTACTGATGAAACAGATGAGACACGATTTTTAAATTTTTATTTTCGTAAAATAACTCAGCCCTTTATTATGGCATCCAGGGCAGAAAGAATTATATTACAGAAAAACTGAATGAGGAAAGGGAGAAAAAATACAAGCCAGAAAAAGGGAGCATAATTGAAACACAATGTCAAGAAACAGTAACAAGCATATCTCCATGGAATCATCTGCTTCATTCAATCCCTACTTTCCAATAGTGAGCCTTGCCTCTTGGTGCTCTTTAGCTCTAGGTATATGTACAAAGAATCTCTTACTAGGTTTCTACAAGTTTTCAGTTTTATATTATAATTGATATCATTAAAAAAAAAAAAAACCCACCAATGGTTCTTCAGTTGGCCTCAAGAATACCTTAGAGGGATGTTAAAACACAAATCATTAGGGATATAGCTCAGTAGACAGAGTACTTGCTCAGCATGTGTAAGGCCCTAAGTTCCCTCTCCATTAGCTACAAGCCAAGCTTTGAAGGTTTTTGTTTTGTTAGTTTACTTATTTTAAAACAGTCTTACTATGTAACCCAGGCTAACCCTGAACTGTCTTCAGCCTCTTCAGGATTACAGACATGTGTGACTGTACCCAACAGTTTTGTATACTTCAAATTAACATATACAAAGCCCATGGCCCAGAGTCTGCATAGATGCTAAGAATGACCAGTATTAACTGTCACATAATTGCTTCTATGTCAGCATGGGACCAAAAAAATAGGGAAAGTAACATGGACCTTGGGGAAATGACTCCAGCTGTCTCCCACAGTGACAGCCCAAACAGTTTACTATCTGTTTCATGACTTATTTCTGACATGAATAAAGATTATTAATCTGGTTTTGCAAGTAACATAAGATTACATAATCTATAAAAGGCAAACATGTTACAATACTTCAATAATATGTCTACATCTTCCAAAAGAAGCATGTCCAATTGAAGCAGTCTCTCAGATACTGTGGCAGCACATGAGCCACAAGCCTACCTTCTCCTCCTCACTCAGAGGGTCTCCAAGCTCATCCTGGGAGAAGTCGAGGAATGCCACAGAGCCATCCATGGAGCACACAAGGATGCCCAGCCCATTCAGAGTCCTGAAAGAAACAGGTGTCAGGATTTAGATGGGGGCAAAATACCTGAGGTGGCCATCCACAGCACAATGACTAGCCCATGAGGATGCTCAGAAACTATACTAGAAAGATTCTGGAAACCCCATTTCCCTTCTATAGTTTGAGGATAGACAAGGGCAGGCAAAGAGGAGCAATAACCACAGCCTTTGGTGATCTCTACACCTCGGCACATGTGCAAAGAATCTCTTAGCAAGTTCTCTAGTTTTCAATTTTGTTTTTGAAATCATTTTTTTTTTAAATCTTGAGAAAGGTGTCTGCTATAAACCTAGAGGGATCCAGTTGTCTGAGAAGGCAGGCTCCTGTAACAAATCCTACTTGTGGTAGTCACTCCCACAACAGCAAACATAGAACTACCACTTCATGAATTGTGTTCTAATAGCACCTTGGGGTCTGCATCGCCTTGGAACAAGCTGCCTAGCCCTAATAAAATCAAGAAACCTCATGTTATATTAGCCTATGCACTGTATCGAGAATCCATCTTACCAGGAAATATCCATGATGGATTTGTCAAAGAGTTCATGGATGACAACCAGAGGCCGTTTCAAACAAGTGAGCTAGGGGAGAAAAAACAAAAATTAATGAAATTTCTGACAACTAGCTTAAGTACTTAGCTCAGCCAATTTTATTCACCCAAGCACCTTGGTCATTTCTGCAAACATATGTGGCATATTCAACTCAATCCAGACAACACTTGCCAAAACTCCAGGCTGGGGAAACCAAGGCCTGCCAGAAATTCTCACACTAGAATGGCCATGGTCTAAGAAACAGTAAAGGCAGACAGTATCTACAGAAGAAGGGACCAGGTGGCATCAGAAGGAACGCAGCTCATTTTCTCTGAATTCTGGTTCACGTTACCCAAGGCTCATAGTTACATAGGCCATACAGACTCACTCCACAGTGTGTCCAGATAAGTCATAAATAAATAACAGTATAAACTCCTCTTATTCCAAACAAAATAAACTATTAAAACTTCAGTGAGGGGTTGGAGAGATGGCTCAGTGGTTAAGAGCAGTTGCTGCTCTGCCAGAGAACTGGGACTAGGTTCCCAGCATCAACATCAGGCAACTCACAGCCACCTGTAACTCCAGCTCCAGATCTGATGTCTTCCTGACCTCAGTAGGCACCTACACATGTGGCACACATGCACGCAGGCACACAGACACAGACAGACACACAGATAGACACACACACATTTTACAAAATATCTGAGGGGCTGGAGAGCTGGCTCAGCAGATAAGACCAGGGTTCGATTCCCAGCACCCACATGGTAGCAAAATAACAACTGTCCTAACTTCAGTTCCAGGGGATCCAACACCCTTTTCTGTCCTTCGCAGGCATTGCACGACATGGGTGCACTTACACACAGTAGGCAATAAACTAATACATATAAAATAAAACTAAACATGTTTTTAAAACTAATGCGTAGGGGCTGGAGAGATGGCTCAACAGTTAAGTACACTGACTGTTCTTGTAGAGGACCTGGGTTCAAATCCTAACACCCACATGGTAGCTAACAACTGTAACTCCAGTTCCAGGAGATCTGATAGCCTCTTTTGTTCTCCACTGGCATTGCATGACATAGGTGCACTTACCTACATGCAGGCAATACACACATACACATAAAATAAAAATAATAAATAAAATATTTTTTTTAAAAAGCTAATGTGTACGTACTTTTCTATTGGTCAGACTTTAAACATTCTGGCAGGTACTCAGTAACATGACCACATCCCACAGAACATGTGGAGGTGTCTAAGGTCACAAAGCATTAGTCTTTGGTGATAAGAAATTTAACCTTTCAAATCCCTAACTCAGAAAACTGTCACAGCTCACCCTCAATCCATCACTGAGTATCATCTGAGAACTGTACAACAGACCACACTGACTAAGGAAGGGAAAAAGTACAAAGGGAGATACAGTATCTCCCACTCAAGTCCTGCTGCCTAGTAAAGAACACAAGACATACAGTCTTACCCCTCAGTGTCACCTGAAAGGTAAAAATGGATGAGTAAATAGAAGCGGCAACTAATTACATAAAGAAGTCAACACTGGCAGGCCAGGTGGCACTCAGGAGGCTAAGGCAGAAAGATCTCAGGTTCAAGATCAGCCTCAGCCTCACAGAAAGATCTTATCACAAAAAGCAAAAGCTGATGGTGTAGGTCAGAGGAATAATGTATACATAGCATGCACAGAGTCCTGGTTTCCATCTCTAGCACTAAAGAAATAAAAACCAAAAACATACATTCACAGAAAGACTTACATAAGAGGGTTCTATGACCTTCAGTTAAAATACGTCATAACTATAATAACTTTAATATCTATCAACAGGGAAAATATAGAAACAAATTGTTCATGTGTTTATAAACAAGATATATAAACAATATGTACATAAAGTCAAGCCCTACACAGCATTCCCTTGGCCAGCCCTCAGTACTTCTTTCTACATAGCAGGAGTGCCTGTAGGTTTCTGAGGAGAAGCTGACCCCAGATGCAGAGCAAGGAACACACTAAGCACCATCAAAAACAGCATGTTTCAGGGCTGGAGAGACGGCTCAGCAGTTAAGAGCGCTAGCTGCTCTTCCAGAGGATCCGGGTACAGTTCCTAGAACCCACATAGTGGCTAACAACCATCAGTAACTCCAGTTCCAGGGGATCTGATGCCCTCTTCTGACCTCCGTGGGCACTGCACGACACAGGTGCATTTATATGCATGCATGCAATACACTCATACACATAAAAAATAAATAACATTTTTTTTAAAAACAGCTTGTTTCTCTTCCCTGAAGTCTTCCAGATTCACCGTCTTCCCAGCCCACAACTTCCCCTGCAAAAAAGCTCAGGTAGCTTACCCAGACAGAAAGTGAGCGGTCCTTGCTGCCTACGGCACAGCAGCAGTATGGGCAGCTAGGCTTCGCAGAACTCCCATTCTTCTGCTTCTTTTTAAAGATTTTTGGGTTGAATTTCTGAAGCCAAATAACAAAGATTAAAATAAATAATCAAGTGTCAAGTTGTCCTCCAAGCCTAAGTACCAGAAAAACACCAAATTCCCAGCCCACTAACAAGTCCTACACAGAGCCTCCAAACTTAGCACTGGGCATTCATGAGTCTATCTTCAAATCTATTAAGAGGTATTTGCTGATGATGCAATGGAAGCTCAAGGTCAGAAAATACACTGAATGTTAAAATGAAGATTTAAAGATAATACTACCACATGTTCCATTTTCTGAGCCAGCAGCTACGTTGAGGGGATGGGAGCTAATGGAATTGACATTCTCAATTCCTCCAGGCCTGGCAAAGCCAGCCCTAGGACCTGGGGAGAGCTGAGCTTGCAAGGGGACTTTAGAGACAATGACCTGCTCACTGCATGTCTTAAGGGAGGACACAGGGACCGGCAGGAGATCTGATCCACTTAATTCCTTCTCCCCTCACCCTATTTATTGTTTAGTCATAATCATCTAGAAAGATCTGCTCAGATCAAGAGGCCCTCATGGCCTCACTGAGAAAAAACAGCCTCATAACTGTTTGCTGGCCTGGAGAGCTGACCCCCTGGGATACCTGGCTCATATTTTAAGAAAGGCTGGGCACATGGTAAGTGTTTTGTCATATGCTTGAATTAAGAGGGGTTAGAGCTCTTAGAATCCCAAACCAAGAATATCTACAGGTAGAGAAAGGGTGGCTCCTGGTGTGTCAGGAAGCATAGAGGCGTTTTCACTATTGAGGATAGGCATGAATGGTCAGCAGTACAGAGACTGGACAAGGAACTTGAAGGTATGTACCCCAGCTTGACTTTCTACTACCACTGAGTAGGCTATTGGGCCTTGCTAAGTCTTGCAGGCCCTAGTGAGGCAGGTGTTGTTTTCTTACAGAGCTACTCTTAAGAGTGGCCATTGAGAGCCAGAGAGAATCACACAGAACCTCTGTACTAAATAGGAATCAGTAATTTCAAACATTTATTAACAAAGGCCTAGTCTCAAACAAAATCCAATGTGGATTCCCAACACAAACGTAAATTTAAAGAAGC